CTGCCCCACATACAAACACACTTCTACCATCACTCCTGACACTTTCTGAAGCAGCTCTGGAAGTCCTCTTCCATGAATGTCCCGAGTTGCACATCAGTCGCTGCCTCAGTGTTCTGAATTGATTACCTTTCACGGTCATTTTAACTTCAGGAAGAGCCAGAAGCCACGCTGCGGCAGTTCTGGTGGGCAGAGTGAGAATGCACCAAAATATTATGAGTGTGCCTTTCTATTAAACAGTATGAAACAGCAACATTCAACATATTTTTGATCACACATCACAAAGACACTCACAAAGGAAAACATCCAGAACTGCTTTAGAAAGTGGCAGGAATGACAGACTAAGAGTGTTTAATCAAGGGACACTCTTTTCAGGCAGGCTTTCTGTTAAATGCAAATCTGCACTGTGTGTATCAGTCGCCCCTTGTGTGTTGGAAACAACAGAATCAGGCGCTAAGGTATTTCCTCTGTGTCACAGATAATCTCCCCACAGGTTAAAGGAGATGCCTGATAGGAATTCTTCTCTGGTCTTTCTTCTGTCCCTTTCCCAAGGTGAGAGTCCCCCTACTTGTCTCTTTTCTTCCTTAGTGAGGACAGATTACCAAAGCAAGGAGAAATGGTGAAGCATCTGGTTCCATTCTGCTTGTTGAGGCCTGGTTCCCTCCTCTAACTGTTAGGGAACATTAATCTACAAAAATGAAAAGTGGCTTGTTTTCAATAGCAGACTGAGGTTTGGTAAAAAGAACACATTTCAGAAATTTTTAAGTGTATGCAGTTCATATTTCTTGAATCAATCTAGTTTTTTTCTCATTCTTTCAGTTCACTTTTCTGAACTACGGGTATTTAACATTTCTGATTTATTCAGGGAGCCAGATATGATCAGAGATATTCTTAAACTCAAGAGCTTGTGACACACTTAGGTGACTGGTGCTGGGTGTTCAGGTGGGAAGAAACAGTTCAGTAATATACAGGATTAAATTTTACTTCGCCTGCAGTATTTTCTCAGATAGTTGTGTGGAAACCCTGTGAGGAGTAGCCCGTGGATGGCTGAGTAAATAGGTGGAATTGAACTAGGTGTGAGGGGATAGAGAGACTGCTGACAGCACCTAACTGTCAAAAGATGTTCAAGGCTGAATGAAATCATGAGTAAAGATGAAGGTGAGGAGATAGAAATGCAATAGATATTTTCAGGGAAGTCTAGGTCCTCAGAGACGGTAGAAGGTAAGAGCTTAGTAACCACTAGGGGTATAATTTAGTCTAGGGTATGTGAAATGGACTTCATGTAAAAAAAAATAGGGGTTCTATATCATTGTCATTGGTACTTTTCTTAATGGAAACTTGATTTGATGCAAACAGAGGTTTAAAAATATTGGTGGTATTGATGCTTTGGATTATAGTAATTTCTCAGCTGTTGATGTGGATTCAGAGAATTCCTTTTTTTGTGGCATTTGTCCTATGCATAAGCCAGTTAGCAAAAGCCTCATGTTCTGTTCATCAGGTCCCAGAAGTATTTGTAACAAATAAGGCTCCAGAGTGGACAACTTGGCCCTCAGCTGAGAACGACTACCTTAAAGTGTACTTTTACTATCAATAGTGTTATATCTTTATCTAGATATTTCTGTTCCATCTGCCTCTCCAGGAAACAGAAGGGAAGCTGTAGGGCTAATCTCCAAGCCCCTGCATGTTTTATCAAATATGATTTCTTTGAATCTGAAAAGATGAACTATTAGAATATTAGCTCTGGATTCAAGGTCTGGCTGGCCGAAGTTCTGTGCTTTCAGGAAATCATGGCACAGTGAATAGACAGCAGACTTCAAACCTGTCAGCACTGGGTTAATGACATCCCATCACTGTGGACTGTGTTGTGATTCTGAAAAAGGCTTCAGCGACATATTAATTCTTGGGCTCCAAAAATGATACTCTAACTTTAGCATGCTAAACACTGTAAACTTTAAGACATTGAAAGAAATTCAGTTCTCTGATCTCTCTTTTGAGTCTCTTTTTCCTCTGAAGCAATTTATAGAAGTCATAATTCCACTGCCAGGATGGGTTATAGAAACTGGAAATACTACACTAGACTTCCCTTGCTTTTCTGTGTAGAGCCATCAAGAAATCCCTTGAACAACCTTATCTGATAGTAGACTCTGAGACTCGTTCCGGAGGGGTCCTGCCCCACACTCAAGAGCAAGGAATGCAGCACAAGAGACCGAGAATCCAAGCAGACAGGTTTCCCCACCTCACCCTATCGCCACTCGGCCCCACACTTCTATCATCACAGCAGCTGTCCACTTTCATCAACACTGAGGATAAAAATAGACAATTTCCCCCGGGCCTTTTGGCTTCATTTCTGAAGGATCTCCTGTCATATACATTTTTCATTAAATAAATTTGTTATGCTTTTCTTTTATTTAGCATGTCTCTCTACAGGGGTGCCCACGCCTCTTGTGATGGGAGAGAAACAGCATTGCCCCTTCCCACCCTCCACCCCACCCCTTCCTGAGCAACGGAGAGCACCTTGCTTAACACCAATTATGCAGCTCGCTCTGGCACACAGATGTGATGCCTGACACATGTGTTTCCTTTCTCCTAAACCACATTGCTCTTGAGTGGATCCTCAAAGAGTAAGGCTTCAAGATGAAACCCCAGGTAAGGTCTTTTCCTCATCTCTGAAGAAGAATCTACTGCACTTTCCAGACTCCGTCCCATGGGTGACCAGCTGCTGCCTATTTTCATGTCATTTGCAATAAGAATGATTATTTTTTATATTTTTAAATGATTGAATAAAAACAAAAGAATATTTTATGACCAAAGAAAGTGATATGGAATTCACATTTCAGGGCTAGTTGGAAAAATGACCATGTTCATTCACGTGCTTGCTGGCTGAGGGTTGACAGCAGAGCTGAGCAACCACAGAACAGACTGCGCTGTCTCCTGGAGGGAATAGTTATTCCCTGGGAATTTAGAGTTTGTTGTTTGCTGCTACACGTGTTGGAGCTCAGAAACTGACACTGTGAAATATACCACTTCGGACTTCAAAAGCAGGGGGGCTTTCTCTGATGTTCCTTTACTTACCCTAAGATTCTTCTGCCAAATAACATAGTTGCCTTTAAGTTTCTTACTGAAAAGTTATCAGCTGAGAGATGAAAACAAAACTCTTATCATGGAAGAAGAGACTAAAATCAACCACACTGAGAACCCCCAGAAGCTCTGTCCCTGCTTCCTAAAACTTTCATGGCCACTTTGACTTGCCCACGAACTTCATTATCCTCTTCTCCATGAAAATAGTATTTAGACCTCAGCCATCTGGTTCTTCCTTGAATTTTATACTTTGTAGGACTCCCATGCCCACGTATGCATTAAAAAAGTGTAGACTGTTTCCCTTCGTAATGTATGTATCATCAGTTTATTTCAGGGAACCCAGTTATTAGACCCCTCAAGGGAAGATCCAAATCTTCCTATACTTCCCTGACTCCAGCTTATGTCTCTTAAGAGCTCATGGCCAGACACGGCCCTTTGGTTCGCCACACAGCCTTGTTATCATTTCAAACACAAGAATTAATTTTTCACAACCCCAAATCATACCCCCAACTTTTCATCATCCTCATCTGCGCCACTTAAGTGAAACCATCTATATTACCATGAATGACATTAGCTGGGCACATAACTGATAGTGTCCTGCTCATTTATAGGAAACACATGTTCACTGTTTCCCACAGTAGGCTTGGGTGGCAGCGCAGTGTAAAGGATTCCACAGTCCCAAAGGACTCTGTTAATGAACACACCGAGTCTTTCCAGCACCTCTAAGAGGTGGGTCAAACTATCATCCTTAACTTTTCCAGAGGAGAAACTGAGGCTCAAAGGGGTTGCATAGCTTTCTCATGATTAAAAAGCTGGGCACTTCTTGATTTCAACTCCGTGCAGACACAGCCCGATGCAGGAAGCTTGGTATAATTTCTTCACTACTGTGCACAATTCCTCTCATCACAGAGAGGTTAAGAACATGGACTGGGTGCTCAGATAGTATTTTTTCCAAGGCAATGACTCTCACCATCAGATCTCCAATAACTTGTTGGCTTAGCAATTAGGTTATTGGGACAATCACATGTCACTTACTGGCAGGTATATGTTCTGACAAATAAATCATAGGTTGATATTTATAGTTATGTGAATACCACAGTGTACTTATTTGAACTCTGAAGGCTACAGTGTCCCTAGGCAATTTCATCTCATGGCGTACTGTTGTATCCAAGATTTGTCCTTGTCTTATGTAGTATGTTACTATACCTGATATGTTAAAAAGAGAGCATAACCTGTACAGGGTAGGCATGATACTTGAGCTATGAAAACAACACCTATTAAGCCAGGCATGGTGACACACCTAACTCCAGCATTCTGGGATAGTGGAGGCAAGAAAATCGCTAGTTTAAGACCAGCCTGCACAAGTCAGCAACTCAGTGAGACTCCGTCTGAAAAATTTTAAAAAGAGCTGGGCATGCAGCTAGTGCTAAGGGCCTGGGTTTGATTGCTCCTATTGCAAACAAACAAACAAAAACAAAAAAATCATTTATTCTTTCAATTTTACTAAAAATTGCATTTTAGCTAAATAGGAAGGTCTATGTGGGATCATGTTTGAAAAACATTCTTCCTTTAAGTCTTTTATGCTTCCTGCATAGAAAGTCTATTCTGCTCATTTATGAAGCCAACTTTTGCCACTTTATGCTGCGTATAATGTGCACATCTGCCACCTCTTAATGTAGACGCTAGGAGGGATCCTTCAGCTCTGCTTTGTGGTCTATCTGTGCTCCTGAATAGAATCACTTTCTTTTGTGGTTTTGGATTTATATACACATTACAGCCACAGGCACTCAAGCATGTATTTTTAGATCACTATCTCAAAATGGGGCATCCAAGTTTTTAAAAATAAACTTGTGCTGGTCTAAAGCTGGAATCAATGAGTGGGAGGGAAAAAAACCCTGCCAGGCTTGCTTGCCTCTTGTCTTCACTGCAAACAGCTAACCCCTGTGCTCTCAGCTCTGTCTTCAGTGGGATCTTTTATTTTCTAGCCCAGAAGATGCTGTGCAGATGGACACAACTAGCATGTGTGGAGTTTGCTGTGAAGTTTGATTTTTCTGACTCCTTCTAGAGACTTGGCTTCTGGTAACTATCTTGAAAACCTTTAGGAGGGTCCTGCAAATTTCAGGGGCCCCCTTTTGGAAATCTCAAATGAAATGAGGCTTCTCTTGGGAGATCCTCTCTGGGCTAGGAACTTGCCAAGTATCCCTTGCAAGGGAGTGGATAAACGCCGGTAATAAATGCCTCAAAGGATGGGCAAGGCAGACCTCTGCTCCCCTTTCCCCCAAAGTATCCTAACAACCAAGAAAAAATGTTCATGGCTGACTAGTGTTTCTGGGCCGACAATATTGATTCTTCATCATAGCAATATGGGCAGGTCCTCATGGGGATTGGAGAGGGTGGCTGTGTGACAGTTCTGAGTGGGAGATAAGGGCATTGTTAGCACCAGTGCTATCTATTCCCAATCTTCCACCCCACCCCCCAATTACAAAGCCTCATTTTCAGTTATTGGGAAATGCTCAATCTGATAACAATGAGTACAAACAGAAAAGAGAAGGCCCTGGGGTTTCTGGGGAAAGATCTTGCTAGAGATCAGCTCTAGGAATGATGAGAGGAGGGTCAAGAAGAAAAAAGAGAGAGAGAGGAAATACTTCTGTTCAGGCCCTAGAGGAAAAAAACACTCCCAGGGCACAATCCTCCCGTTTGCCATCTCCAAGGATTCAGAAAATTGTGAAATCTAATCTTAGGAGAGGAAGAAGAGATGGTCACTTGGAGATTCCAGTAATAATAAAGAAAATGGATTTTCACTTAGTACTTAGAGGAAAACCTTAAGGCTGATGAGAAGAAAACACACTAATAAAAGCTTTTCAGGAATTAATGGGATTGCCATTGACACAGATATGATGTTTTCCAGTTTTAAATTCAGACCAGAAGGGGAATGGCTGCATTGAATAGGGCTTCTAATCCTAGTTTTTTGAGGAATCTCCATACTGATAACTGTATGTATGTTTAAGTGTGCAAGATAGATAACCATACAATTAATTCTCCTTTCGTTCATCAAAAAGAATAGTTTGTGCTGTCATTGCTCGATTGTCTGCTCATTTTTTATGCTTTGGTTTTGTAACTTGAGCAACTATTTCTAAGGTAATGTGTAATATATTAACTGGTGTTGATTTCTTACGGTTATTTTTTTTTTAATTCTGCATTATTTCTACCCTTTTCCTGTTTTGCTTTTTAAAAATTAAAAAAATAAATGAATAAATTCAGGCCAGAACAAAGTCCTTCGGAAATTCAGTTTGTGCTTACGGAATGAAGCAGTCACTATCACTTCCTCATGATTAGAGTTGTTTTGCTTTTCAAAGGCATCAAAATGCTTGCTTCTGTTGTTCCAGCCCTTTTTCAGAAAGAAAAAATAAACTTCAAAAATCAAGCGGGCAGATTGTGAGGCATTCCAGAGAAGAGATTTGGCAAGTAGCCTTATTTCAAAAGCATCTTATCAAAAGCAATTGTTTGCCCGAAGTGGTTCTGCTCCCCATGAGCAGAGGTGGGAGGAACTGCAAGTTTATTTTCAGATTCCCCAGTGAAGGAAGCCTATTCCCTCCTGTCCTGCAGAATTTACTCAGTCTTTCTGAGCCTCATTTTTATCATCTCTCAAATAAGAAGCTTGCCACCATTTGAAGAGACTTGACTTAAAAATTAAACAGAGTACAAGCACCCAGGGTGTTACAAGCATTTAGGACCTATTATTTTTGAAATTGTCTAATGACTCCCGCACATAAAGTTCCACTATTGCATTAAAAAGACTTTAGAAAATATTTATGAACCATTGGAGAAAACTGATTCCAGGCGGTCTTGGCAATTGTTTTCGAATTCAGAAGAGCAAGTGTTATTTTCTCAGTATCGTTTCAGCAGTGTTGCTGGCTGGTTCCTTGAAGAGAGGAAGTTGGATGAGGTTCTCACCACATGCATATTTCATGCACACTTGCGCATCTATGTGTTTTTCCCAGCAAGCTGCACATGCGGAAGAGAGCTCCTTATGGAAAATGAGAGTGATGTCATCTGACTGCCAGGACCCGGATGTGAACTTAGCCTCCCACAGTGCTGTTGGATCCACACAGCCACCACTGTGCTGCAAGGCAGAGATTCTATTTAGAATGTTTCCGGAGAAGTGTGCTTTGATTTTCTTCCTGAGAAATCGCTGCCAGGGTGTAATCTGGTTTCTACAAAGAGAAAGGAGTGTGTGGTGCTAGAAACCGTTTATTCTGAGGGATTCCTAAGGAGCTCATTGAAAGCATTTCTGATATTTCAGTACAGAAGAGGAGAGAATGTAGCAAATGTGTTCCACACCCCTTTATGTGGAAGAAAACAGTTTCTCTCTGGTCTCCAGAGCTGCGGTCCCAGGCACTCCGCTCAGACTTGCTATTCAGTCCGCATTCTTCTGTGTCATTGCTTAACAGATTAGCTTGGAAGGAGCTTCGAACTTCTCTGATGATTTGGGTAATTTTAAACAAGGATTTCAGGATGGAATGGATGAAAGGAAGCCCGCTATTTGAGTATGGTCTCTCCTTGAGGAAAATCTGTTTGTTTTTCTTCTCTTAAAACCAACAATGGGGAAAAAAGTTTATTCACAAAACTGTATTGGGATGGCTTAAATTCCATTCTTTGTAGCTAGGTACAATACCCTTCGTTAGCACTGATCTCTCTATAGAAAGGACCTTTTTCATTATTTGGAATTCAAGATCCAGTCTATTAAGCACTAATCCCTATAATCTTGTAGGAATTGTCACCCTGGCCCACACTGAGAGGCCTGCCTCTTGTTGCTGGAGGGGTCAACTGGTGGTCCCAGGACTGATTTCATGCAGAAAGTGGGTTTGGTTTGGCAGCGTGTTTGAAAGGCATTTTGACGAGAATATCTTTGGCCAAAGGGAAGCACTGTCATTTCCAACCGAGGAGCTACATCTCTATCATAAAATTACCACTGGCTTTATTGGAATGACGTGAAATTAGCCTGCCGCCTCCCAAAGGCATTTGAGTTTGAATTTCTAAGACCAGAAGAGAAACCTGACAAAATTTTAAGAGGATACGAATACTTCTTCAGAGTCCCCCAAATCCTGATGATGATCAAGATGAACCTGAGCACTCACTATGCCTCAAACTTAATAGCTTGTTTTCTAAAAGTGATTGACAGCTCTTCTACTTCATGTCTTCACCCTAGGGTCCAGGCTTGATCCACACCTTTTGGATATAGTACAGGCTAACTACAAAGAAAAAAGAGGATGGGAACTAATATCTCTCACAACTTCTGCTCAGCAGTAGCAAATGCTATCACTGGCCAAAGCAAGCCATATACACTAGAGTGAAAGAGTCTTAAAAAGAAAGGGATATTACTCTCCCAAAAGGAGAAACTGTCTATTTGAACAGTATTAATATTGTCAGTTAAAAAAAGTTACAGATTTACCAAAAGTTGAGTAGTGGAGAATACAGTCGACCCCTAATTATAAAGTGAAAGGTGTATGAAAAATGTTGAACAATATAAAACTTCAGTTGATAGTGGATGGCTACTCTACTCAGTGACAAAATTTCACTTTGCCTTTAGATAATATTCATCACTTGTAGTTCGGGTGGAGATGTGGCTTCAGATACCCTTTTACTGTTGATGTTATCATTATTTTTAAAGGCTGAAGGAAATAAGTTTTATTGGTTGAGATTTTTTTTTTTTTTTTGTCTATTTCCTTTTTATTGGTACCGGGGATCAAATTCACAACTGCCTGCTTGCAAGGCAGGCGCTTATTATTGGTTGAGATTTTTAAAAGTTCCACCATGGGGGCTGGGGATTTAGCTCAGCGGCATAAGCGCCTGCCTTACAAGCAGGCAGTCATGAGTTCGATCCTTGGTACTAATAAAAACGAAAAAGACAAAAAAAAAAGCTCCACCGTGAAGGGTGTTCTAGGTAGAAGTGTATCTCTGCCCCTCATTCATATGTTGAAATCTAACCACCAGTACCTAAGGAATATAAATTTATTTTATCTAGTGTTAGTTAAGTTGAGCCTCTACCATGTTAAGGTAATCTTTAATCCACTATTACTGGTACCCTTTTAAAATGGACAAACTTGGGCACAGGCACACATGTGTGAAGATAAAGACAGACAGCAAGGTCATCCAGCAGAAGCCAAGAAACACCAAAGTGTGAGAGAAAACAGTAAAGCCGAAGACAGTGAATAGATTCACACTGCCCAGAACTGACTGCTACCCACTTGAACTTGTAATTCCAGCTTCAGTTCTGTAAGACCATGGTCTTACAGACCATGGTGGGCTGATCTCCCCAGTTTGGGTCCCTTGTCTGTAGTTGTCATGATGGCTGGTCAGCTGGAGGTTAGTAGGAGATTAGGAAATTACACACTGGGTAAGCCTAAGGGGGCTGTGGAGGTGCGACCTTTTGTACTATATCTGGCTTCTCACGTCTGTCTCTTTCTCAGTCTCTCTACTCCCTGGCTTCCTTGAGGTGAGAAGCTTTACTCCACTTTGACCTTCCGCCGTGATTTTTCTGTCTTGGGGCCAGTCAATCACAGTCTGAAATCTCTGAAATTGTGAGTCAAGATAAGTATGCCTTTCTCTAAGTGGGTTTTCTTAGATATTTGGTCACAGTGATGAACAGCTGACCAACACAAGAGCACTCAGAAATGAACACAGTAGGTAGGTGAATATACAAAGAGACAAAGATAAGCTACTTGGTGAGATGTTGGTGCAAGTGAAGGAGTGGTCAAATAATAACAATCCTTAGCCTTCTGTGAAAAAAGAGAGAGAGAGAATACGGTGAGGGTGTGAATAAAGTGGCTTTTAGGGGAGAGAACGTGAAGAAACCAATGATTATTTTAAAATCTGTCTTTAAAAACTGAGAACATTCTGAAGGCATTCCTGTTCCTATAATCCAACTGATATAAATACTTTAAAATATCTATTCTCTGCCATAATACTCCTTTTAAGTTCAATGATAGTTTATCTGATGAAAAATAAGAGCTGTAAATCAAGAATATCTGAGTTAAATCTGCTGACACAATGTTCTTTTCTGATATAGTTATGTTATTCCACCACTAAGAAGGAGACAAAACCTGACAAAGATTTTCTGCTTGACCACACTTATTGCCAGTAGATCCACTACAAAAAATGTCAGACAATAGCCTTTATATCGGAGGAAAATGATCCCCACAAGAAATGTGGGATTGCAAGTTAGAATGAAAAGCATCAAAAGCAGCAAGTGTAGGAAAAACTAAAAAATAATAAGAAATCTTTAAACTCACAGTAATAACGTATCCCAGAAGATAGAACTATGGAGAAATGCAGTGTCTGATAGGAGGAGGGTGTGCTGGTTGGGACAGGAAGTGAACCCCCAGGACTCCTGTGGGGAAGGCTTGGTTGCCAGAGTCACAGGGCTCAGAGGTGGAGGCTTTGAGAGGTGATGAAACCAAGAGGGCTCTGAGCACAGCATCAATCAGTTCTTTATGATTCACAGGTGTATGGGCAATTGGGAAGTGGAGGATACTGTGGATCTGGCTCATTGCAGAATCTGCCCTCAGAGGGTACACTTGTTCCGGAGCCCTCCCTTCCTCTTTTTGTCTGCATCTCATCTGCCAAGGGGTAAGCAGTTTCCTTTACCACACCTCACTATGGCTCAGACACAAGAGCTTAGTAACCCTGGACTGAAGCCTTTGGAACCATGCCCTAAAATAACCTTCCTCCTTTTAGTTGATTTTCTCACGTATTTTGCTACAGCTGTAGAAAGCTGACTAGCACAGAGAAGAAAAAAGCATCCTGCATGGTCCAAGAATTCATAGAATGTTAATTTAAAATCAATTCAAACACATAAGAACATACAATAAAATTACCACAAAAAATAATTTATGATGGGCCGGAGATTTAGCTCAGCGGCATAAGCCCCTGCCTGGCAAGTGCGAGATTGTGAATTCCATCCCAGGTAATAAAATAACAACAACAATAAAATATGAAATGTACACAAGACTGGATAGAGGAAAATAAAGCAGAATACTCACATTTCTCCATTAATACAGCAAGAATAAGGAAAATGAAAAGCCAGGAAACAACAGTTTTGTTAACTGGAAAGAAAGTACAAAAAACACAGTCTAGCTAGGTGTGGTAGCCCATACCTGTAATCCCAGGACAAGGGGGCTGAGGCAGAAGCAGAGCTATGAGTTTGAGGCCTGCCTGTGCTGCATACTGACTTCAAGGCCACCCTGAACTGCATAGCAAGGCTGTGACTCAACAAACAAACAGAAAATGGCAATCTTAGAACTATCCTTAGCAGACTCAGTTTCAAGGCAAAATGTCTAACCATTCAACATGAGAACAAAATTATCAGCCTAGGAAAATGAAATACACTAGACCCAAGTATATGGTATTTAAGAAAGAAACATTTGGTCTCAAAACATAAAGTAAATGTAAAATGATGGTAACAATGGTTAATAATAATAAATTTCATAGTACATAAACACAAAGTGAAAGAAAAACTGCTATAAGCATGAAGAAAATATGAGATTGGAGAAAAATTAGCATTGATAAAGTATTTAAAGAAAGGAATTATCTTTCATAGAGATAAAGATTAATAGTAAATGTAATAGTAAGAAATCATAATAAAAGATGTATATGAACTTATAAACATAATAGAAAATATACAAACTTTCAATTATTCCTTATAGTTGTTAAATATTGTTTTTAAAAAAACACTAGATATAGCACAGATATAGAAAATTTATTTTAACGCCCTACTAATTTGAACAAGTTTAAAATTTTAGAAACAAAACTAAAATCAGAACACTAAAAACCTAATATTTTAAAATATATTTGGCAAATTTACCAAAAAAGACTTTATATTGAATAATAAAACAAATTTCTATAAACTTCAAAGGGTTCAGTTTGTAAAGAATATATTTCCTGATGACAACAGGATAAAACAAGAAAAAATAGAAATGTAATTTCAAAGCTCTCAAATCTCTAAAGTATATTGTGTAGCAAAATATTAAATCTGTAACAATATTAATAAAATATTCACATAAGCAAACCAGCAGGTCAAAATGGGGAGGAGACTTCCTGGCACAAATTATCGTACTACTGTTTTCTGGTAAACATTGAAAAGAGCAGCGACACCAAAAGCACACAAACCCAGAAGGTGGAACAGGAGCACATTTAGCTACTTTAATGAAAATAGTGTAACTGATACCAAAAGGAGAAAAGTGTGTTACTAAAAATTACATTCACATATTACTCATAAACATGTAATCACAATCCTAAACAAATTGTTCACAAGTTAAGTTTAGAGATACTGTAAAAAGACAGTAACCAAGTGAGTCTTATTCTGCATTGAGATCAATTTTAGACAGTGTTTATAAGAAACTAATTTTCTGCCATACTAAACCACACAGTTTGTGATGATTTGTGATACAACTCTAGGAAATTCACACAATCTCCTATTTTATACCATACAAATAGTGATTAGTTTGAGATGAGTCATAGATTTAGATGTGAAAAGTAAAAGTGTAAACTTTCTAGAACATGCTTACACATGGGAGAACTGCATTCTTAAACTCATGGTTGGCAAAGAGTCCTTAAAGCTTGCAGAAAAGATACCCAGAGACAAAATTTATCAAAATAAACAGAGACTTCTAGGAGGAGAATATCTAAATATCCAATAATTGTATGGCATGATTGCCATATCAATATCTGAACCTAAGGATTCTGTGTTAAAAATTGAGACGATGCTACTTTCTATAGGTAATATCACACAGATCACACAAGTCATGAACTTATTTTAAGACATAAATAAAAGAGTGTATTCAAACCATTGAGTGTTAGCACCTGGCTCAGGCTGGTTGTCCAGAAAGTATGATTCCAAGGACTGCATCAGTCAGACTTATTGCATAATGACTTGTGAAAAATTGTGGAAAATTTGGAGCAGATTTTTAGAAATACATTAGAAAGAATGGATATAATTATTCTCATTAAAATTCCTCCCCCGATGTGAAACCAGCGGAGGGAGGAAACAGGACAAAAGAGTAACAGGGGTCTGAAAGAGACTGATGTATGCATTGTGCATGTAGGATTCTGCCAACATGAACCCTGCTGATCTACATATCCAGCAAACATGAGTAAAAATAAAATCCGACAGCAGAGAAACTTTTGGACTATTTTTTGAGTTGTAGTATTAAATTACTGATAGAATTTTCAGTGTGGAAGGGAACCATCTGATAGAATTTTGGGCGCGGCTAAAAAAATAAGAAGTATGAAATAAAAGTGGCCTTTATTTTAAGAATGTGGATAGAGATTCCATGACCCTTTGGGGTCTGGCATTCTCTCCACGAGACATGTGGTGTGGGGGCATACATGTAGCTTTGGTTTGGGGTGGTGCCTAAGGGGCATTTGTGATGCACAGCCCATTGGTATTCATTTCTTGCCACAGGTAAATTGCCTAAGGGTGGGAAAGGTGACCTCAAGATAGAGCCCCTTGGTTCCCATGCCAGCTTATCTCGGGCTACAGTGTTCCATCTGTGGCAAAATCCTTTCAATTACCAAATATGCAAGTAACATCACATTCTACTTGGAACTCGGCAAAATCAAACATGGATTGTTAAATAACAGCACTGATTTCCAAAGATACCCACAGACTCCCCTGTGACCACTAAGAAATCTGAATTCTCATACAACCCATGATAATTTACCTATTTTAAGGTCAGCTGATTAGCAACCTTAATTCTGTCTGCATTTAATTTCCCTTTATGAAGTAACCTATTCACTAGTTACACTAATGAAAGCATGGGCATTGCTGGAAGTGGGGAAGCATTATTTTGCCTATCACACAGCTCCAAATTCTACTAGGTTAAAAGACAATGATCGGAAACTAGGAGAGGTACAAAACTTGATTCTGACTTCAAGTTTTCAACTGCTGCGTCTTGTGGACCTTATTTTCATATGGCCATTTCCCAGGAGCATAAGGCTTCAGATTTATCAGATCCGTGAGCTGTCATGTTTCCAGTTGGGTCGTGCACTCTTAGAAATTCCAGCTCCACTTACAACAGCAGAATATGGTAATGGCTTGACACCTATGTCTCTGTAATGCTTTCTCGTTTCCTGGGTTTTTCTTCTTTGAAAGCCATCTAAGAAGATCCAGTGTGTCGTGGACCCTTCAAGATCTACGTCCATTTTCCTGGAAGGTCAGGAAAGCTCCACGGTGAAATCAAAATGCTGCAGCAGTTTGTTAGTGGCTGTCATCCTGACAGAGTGGAGGAGCCGTAGCCCTGTGCAAGTCATGCTTTTCCAAGGTTACACCATCTGGGTGCAAAACTAGGGACCCCTCTGGGCCATGTGGCTTCCTTCTTCAGGCACCTCATGTGTCACACCTCTATGTAGCATCTCCATTGTTCTGGAGCAAGTAATCATCAATAAGGTGAGGATCCTATGGAAGGAGATCCATTCTAGAAGCAGGGGAACCCAGAGTTAAATCACTATGTCTGACTCTGAATACAGGGGTTTTTCCCCAAGTTTGTCTTGTGCATCCTAATGCACATCACATTATACTGCTTAGTTAAAGCTTTGCCAAAGATGGTAAGCCTTGCAGATCTGAGACACACTTTAATATCCATCTCCCACATCCAGCCTTGCGCTAGGCGTGTACCTGGGGTTCAGTATCCTTTACTGATTTTATGAAGGTGCAACTTAGCTTCAACACTGCAGTGAATGAATTAACTACACCAGTCTAGAGAAAACCTACATTTGGAGAGGTAGCATCAAATTAGGAACAGGTGGTACACTGTCCAGGGAACCTTCTTCCTTCCAAAAATCATTCCTTGATTTGGCTTTCTGAGCCATATTAATCAGCTCTCAAAGCACTGCTCAGTGACACAGGACTCATTGGTAATGAAGAGTATTTGTCTACTGAGAAATTAGAGAGGACAAAATGGAGAATGAAGCCTCCTTGCTCTAATGTATCTCCTTCCTCTTAGCTTGGTTTAAAACCCATCTCAGTTGCGGATAAGTACTGCTTTGCTCGAATGCAGTACTCCCAGAGCTAATGAACTCAGGGCACACTTTTTGGGTGATTTATACCTGTTGTCACAAGCACTGTTTATCCCTGTTTATGTCTGAATATTGAACACTAACAAACCATCAGTTCATGAGATCCTACCTTTACCTAAAATTCAAATGTATCAGTGTTCCACAAATGCAAGATTTCTCTTTCTAAAGAACTTTTTACAGTCTTCTAAGGAAATTTTGCCTTTTGAAGTGAATTTTTGTTGTCATGGACTATTTTTTACACTTTATGACCAAAATTTCCTTTGACAAGTTTGCCTGAGAATATCTTTAAAATAAACCCTAAATAGGCAGACCAGGAAAAAAAAAGGTAGATCCTGTTAAATTCTTGAGTACATATTATAATATAAAATAAATGTGTCAAGTATACTAAATTTCTCTATTTAAAACATTTTTATCTCTTCTGAATGGATAAAATTATACTAATATTATCAAATGTTCCCAAAGGCATGGAATAACTGGAAATTTTATGAACTGAGAATAAAATTTTACATTTGTATTACCATTCAAAAGATATATTGGCAACATCTACTAAAGTTAAGTATGTATACAACCTGTAACCTAGCAAGCCAAGTCTTTGGTGGCATATCTGTTTACAAGTCTTTACCTGTATTCTCCTTGCTGGGACTGATCTATCTGCTATCTATTTATCTATCATTCCATCTATCTCAAATGGGTATTTTCACTAAAAGATCCATTAATTTCTACCAAAACAATCTTATACATGATTTTATTTGTAATAGTACCAGACTAGAAACAAATCATATTTCTACTAGAAATAGAATGACTTTATGTAATACATATATCCACAAAAGTTAAAAACTATATAATACATAAGAGTATAGGTGCATGGTACAGACATAAAATTATGTTCTAAAAGCCTGATACAAAATGAAGTTCGAAGCTAGAAAATGATTTTCTTCTTCACTTTTCTCATTGCTGAGACAAAATACCTGACACCCAAGGTTAAAGGAGGAAAGGTACAGTTAGCTCACAGTTTGTAGAGCCAGTTCATAATTGACTGGCTCCAAGGCAGGGTGCACATGGAAAAGGTGCAGTGGTTCGTGGCAACAGAAGACAGCAAAAGCAACAAGAGAGTATGAGACAAGCATCTTCCTGTCCCTTGTATTGTGTCTAGACTGCTGGGACTAGTGTGGTGCCAGATCAATCAGTGGAATGATTTAGCAACTTCCCACCCTTAATCCCAGCATCACACACTCTACATTCTGCCACCTCTGAAAAAGTCCTATGACCACATGAGGCTTTGGGGGGACATCCAGGCACCAACTATAACAATGGTGATTGAGTTCTACAAAGATTGAAGCCATATTCCCCGGGAGGAGCTATGAAAGTTGTTGCTGGAAATATTCTATATGCAGTATGGCTGGTGTTCAGATGAGGATAAACACACATAAAAATTGGTTGAGGTATTTAGTCATCATTCATTGTCAATTATACTTCAATATAAAATGAATTAAAACATATAAATATATCATACACTTTAGGAGAGTATATAAAAAATTTATTTCTAGACGTATTTGTCTTATAAATAATGGCATGGAAATCATCAACACAATTTTCTTTAAGGCCCTTTATGAGGATGATTACTGGAAAAGCTGTCTTCTTTACTGAAATCCCACAGCATTATGTCAGTGCCTTTCACATGGAACCTATTTGCTGTGTTTCTCCTGTGAGTATATTATGCACACTATTGCACAATTTAGGGACTCCTGGAATGAAGAGATGCAGTGGCTGTATCTGATGTGTTTCTATTCCTCTCACCCCCACAGAGCCCTTCCCAGGGTCATGTCCTGTCATGTGGACATCCGCCCCAGTATACTTAAGTTCAGATGGTAACCCATGCGATCTGAACTTCCAAGACAGCCAGTGGTGGTAAATGGCTGAAACTTTCACAACAGAATATACGAGCAGGTGGATTAAATAATGACAATTCACTTTTTCAGGGTTCTGGAGACCAGAAGTCAAAGAGTCAGCCATGCACAGAGCTGGTATCAGAATTCTTTCTGTCTTACCAACAGATGTATTCACTTTAAGTTTTCACATCATCTTTCTTCTGTGAGAAAAAAAAAATTGTTATTGCTTGTTCTTCCTACAAGGATTTCACTCTTATTAGGTTAGGATCTCACTTTTTCTCATGAGCTCCTTTAACCATAACTAACTCTTTAAAAGTCTTTTGTCCAAGTGTGGCCACTCTGAAGGTTACAACTTCAGAAAATGAATGTAGGAGTTTTAGAGGACATAGTCTAGTTCATAACAACTACAGTGACTAAATGTCTTTAATTAAATTTGGCTCCTGGAATTATATTCATGGCATACTTGGTTCTGCTCCTTACAGATTCCTAGACCTATCATTGATCCTGGCCCTATCGTCTGGTCTCAAGTTCTGTCTCTTCTTAATTTGTTCCTTGGCCTGGTCCTCTTAGTCACTAACTAGGAAGAATTCTAATTACATTGAATCTTACAGAGGCTGCCAAGACTGATATACTCTGACAGCATACTTAACATTTTTCTAAGACATTCCAAGTGTATTTCCTCCCAAAACCTTAGGTTCTATGAAATTGCTCAGAAAAAAATTTAATCATAATGCAAGAAAAACCAGACTACAGTAAGACAACTCAAAATGCATATAACCCTCTTATCAGAACCATAACAAGAACAATATCTATCTTACTGGAAAACAAATAAACACAGTTGATTCTGTATGGGCATCTACATGTTACATTATAGATAATTTGGCAGTGTTACATATTTTGCTTAAGCCTTCTTCTTAAAGAAGTCAGTCTTTGGTGGTCACTTTTGTAACAGAGAATACAATAATCCAAATTAAAAGCCTGACCCATGGTATAGCTGTCCCCACCCATGCGTACCCATGCGTATTTTCACTTCAGAAGAAAATGCCCTTGCCGTTCTTTATCTGCGCTCATGTCCTTCCCTGCTGGACTAACACCACAGAAAGCCTATAATTCTAGAGGTCATTGTGCCAGCCACTGCTTGTGCTAAAGAAGGCCTTCTCTATCGATTTTCAATTTTTACTTCATCTTTTAATTATGAGATGAGTTGCCTGTAATTGCTACAAAACATTTGTATATCAAAAAATAGTACACACATCAACGTAACTTTTATTCTTCACTGACAGAATTTCGTTTATCAAGGACCTTCCAGATAAGTCCTGTCAGAAGCATACTCATGATGGCTAAACAGAGTTCAGTAAATGTTCAGGTCATGCTCTCATACAATATTCCAACACCAGTAAATACAGAGGAAAAATTTAATTTTTATCTTCTGACTGTTTTCTTGCAAGTAAGAGTTGCACAAAGCCCTAAGGCTAAAAGATAGAACAAGAAATTTTAGGGCCAAGAAATGTGTCTCAGGTACCAGCAAGAATTCATTATCTCCTTTATTTACCCTTTTGTGTGATCATTGACTGTGTATTGATGATGAGCAGGTTACTAGGAGGTGAGCAGAGGCCAGGGCGTCACTGTTTCTGCCCAGTGCAGTGACTCCTACTATTTTAGGTGATTTCCACAGCCATTCTCTGAGGCAGAGCCTCCCCTCTTCTCTGCTGCAGATGAGAACACTCAGATGTAATATTAAGTAAGAACATAATGCAATACATCTAGACTGGGAAACTTATTTCTGCTTTGGCTCAGAGTCATTTCAATTTACAGGCTGGAATGTCAGCAGGATTCGCTTTGTGATCCAGCCAGGTGACTGGTGGAATACACTTACAGGTGGGTATGGACCGAAACATGGAGATATGGCCTTCTTGCCTAACTGTGACCCTCACTCCCTCCCCTCTGGTCCTGGTTCTGGCCCCATGAACTAGCCATTTGTGTTTTGTCAAGCTCTTCTATCATTATTCTGCTTAGATCCAGAAGACCGTGAACTGCAGGCTCAGACACTACGACACTATGATATACATTTAGCTTTCTGTAAGTTTTAGGTGTTAAGTATTGTGTCATAGCAGTAAAAAACAAAATGATAGAGTGATTCCTGCAAATTTCTAACTTCAGGTGATTATGCTAGACTTGAAGGCCATTTTGTCATTGCCAGGCCTAAGTCTTTTCAAAAGAGATGAACTTTTCCAAATTTTTAAAATTGTGATTTAGTTTTCCATTAACTATGTTCATGATGCTCCTTTGTTTGAAATAATACATTCAGAATACAAGTGATACCTCATACCCTGGCTTAGCACAGGGTCAGAGAAATGCAAACTGGCCTAGACCTAGTGGCTTGAGGCTCCAGTCTTCTGGTAGGAAATGTTGGACATAGTCACATAATCACATCATGGAGAACCTGTAAGTATTAATTTACTTTTTCATTTGTTCAAAATTATGCAGCAATGTGGCAGAGCAACATGTGAAATCTGTTCTGAATGTAGATTTTCTGTTCATTTGGCAATAGCATGCCTACTCTCTTAATAAGAAATAAATTGATGCACAAGATGCAACTGGTTATCTGAATGGATTCCCAGTGATTGCTGGAAGGCAGGGAGAGCGCCATCTCGATGTCAAAGTGTAGATTATGCAGTCTACACAGCATCTTCCACTAGGGAGTCAGGTTCTCAGAAGGGCGGCAGCCAGGGGAGCATGGTGACATTGCACATGGAGCATGACATTCGGGGCTCAGAGCTGGACCTGTGGAGAACTGGGACTCTGGGATGCAAACAGGAAGCTGGATAATGCCGTAGTCATCTTTCTCCTCTCTCCCTCTCCATGCCTGTCCTTTTCCACCATTTTTGTGTTCTACTGCTTACTCCTCAAGTTTGTTCTATGTGAGACAAGAACCCGCACCTCCAGATAACTCTACTATCTCTAGCAACCACTTTAATTCTAAATAATATAGAAACAGTCATTCTTCTTGGACCATAAGGTGGGACTGCAACCAAGAGAAACGTGCTGTTTTTGGCTTTCCCCCCTCTCTGCTGAATACATCATATATGACCCTGCTCTTAAAGCTTTCACCACACTCACTCATCCATAGCTTTGAATCACTGCACAGACGTCTCCTTCTAAGTCAGCCCAGCGGTCTTGGAGTCAGTGTTCCCACAATCTAACCACTATGGGTACTTTGTGACATGTCTTTTGGGTTGTGCAAGTAATGAATCATCTTTGAAACTTCTGGAGTCTGACTTCTCCTCCAAGGCTCCTTGAAGACTTTCCTTTCTATTTGCCAAAGCCTCTGATAATTCAGGAAATTCAGCAATGCACCCATGTATCCCAAGGAAATGTTTTCCTGTCTATATCCCCAATGGAGCTATACTTTTCTCCTTTCTCTCTTTTCACAGCATATGGTTTTGTAATTCCAAGAAATGCCTGTACATAGGCATTATTTTAAAGCTTAATGTTTCTTTGGTGAGTCGCAATGGTTTTTCAGACATCCTTTTCTTTGATAAAGTTATAAAAAGTCAGACTGGAGAAGTGTATAGCACAAACTACAGTCATTTAGCCATCATTCAAATTCCTACCTGATATTAGTTGTATCACCTTTAGTAAGATACTTGACCTCTTTACATTTCCATCTTTTGAGCTATAAAATAGATAAATAACACATGAAGCTCTTATTTAAAAATCATATGCAGTTCCTCGTGCACAGGTCATACTTCCTAAGTATTGACTGCCTTTACTTTGATTTGTGAGTCCATAAGGTATTTACTGAGAATTCTCTCCTCGCTTGCCATGGCAAGAACTGTGCCAGTTACTTGACATAAGGTGATGAGCAAGAGTCCAGAGTCCACTGGACAGCACAATGACAATTCAATTAAATTATTAGTGACATAGGCAAGACAAAATCTTCTTCTAAGTGTTAAGAAGAGGAAAGCAGGCAGGTAATATGTATACATATCTTTGTACCTCTCCTCTTAGTTCAGCAGAGAACCTCAGGAATAATACTGACAGTGATGATGCTAACATTGCAATCGCATGTGTAAAGTAGTTGATGTTGCCAAAAGCCTGATTCAACAAATGTCAATTTAATTTTCAAATCTTGGCTTAGTTTGTATAAATCACATAACATCCTCATGTCCTCTTTTTTGTCCACTGAATAGGGATTAAAGTGACTGCATGCCAAGCTCTTGTGAGAATTACAAAGGTCACATGCATAGAGTTTAGTAGAGTGAATGATTCAAGTGCTCTCTGAATAACAGTCCTAGACAGTTTCCTTTTCCTCTTTCTCATTCTTGTCTCCTAATTATGATTATTATGAATATTTTTATTATTCTAATACTACTATTGCAGCTACCTGATCGTATTCTGGAATATACAGGATTTATAATTCCTGTTCCGGATTTATTGATTTTGTGGAAATTGGAGTCAGAAGAAATATGCATTGAGGCTGCTTCCCATCATTGTCTTGGAGGTAACAGGGATATTACGCTAGCTGAGATAAATTTCCTCAGTCATGACTTACTCTTGAATGCAACTAACCTGCTTCTAATTTATATGTCTCTCAATCTATATTAGATGAGCAGGGCTCTTGTTTACTTAAGATTAACATGAATGCCTTGCTGCTGAGTTGGTTGAGTTAGTGGATAATCCTGCCTATAAGCCACATTCTGTTCACACCTGTGCTATCTATCATTGATTTATTCATGCCACCATTTTTGTTCTAACATCAGAGAGTCTCATGAACTTCTCTGGCATTTGTTGCTTATAGGTAAGTAGGAGAGACATAGTCTAGGCCACAGTACTAGATCAGGGTAAAAACAGCTACCAGAAAATGTGTGTGATGAATGGGACGCTTGGAGAAGCCCAGGATTATCTTCTTTCAGTTGCTGTATCACAGAGGAGAGGGTGAGAACTCAGAACAAAAGAAATCTCTACCTGAGTCCTAGGCATGTGCCTAGATAAGTTTCAATCTTTCAAATAGGGTTGCCAGTACATGTAATATTGGTTGTGAGAATTAGAAATGCTTTGTATATATAGTACTGATGTGGTGTTTGCCACATGACTCATACTCAGTAAATCAAAGCTATTAGTGTTACAGTTAGATAAATTGTTTTCCATGCAGAACCACAATAGTCACACCCATTTTCTAACTGGCTCCGGAAGGTTTGAGCACCACAGTGTGAAGTGAGGCTGCCACTCTGCCAGACTCTAGGATCACCATTATCATTGCCTTTCAGAACCCTGATGCAGAGACTCTGTCATCCTTTGGCCTGAGGAATACAGATGGCTGATGCTAACATCAACTGGACCACAAAGACTTTCACACAGATAAACTTCCTTTTTCTCACTTTATGCATCAAATTTCCTACTCATGGTACAAATCACCTGACACCTGCAGCTTAAAAGACAAGTATATTACTCAGGTATTCAAGTATTCCTGTATTTAGTGACGTATTCTAGAGTTCACAAAAAAAAATAGACTCATTTTATTTATTATGAGGAACTAGGTGATAGGTCTTGGAGACTGAGAAGTCTCACAATCTACCATCTGCAAATTGGAAAGCAGTGTCAGAATTCAATCTAATTCTGAAAGACTGAATCAGAAAAACTTGTAGTGGAAAACCCAAGGCAGAATAATATGAGGTAAGTAATCTTGAACAGTTCTTTTATTGTCTTAATGTCAATAAGTGATTGGAGTTGATCCCTATCTATTTTGGAAAGCACAACCTATTTTATTGAACTTAACCAATTCAAATGCTAATCTTACCCCCCCAAAACCTTCAAAGCCATATCTGCAAATAATGTTTAATCTGGGCACCTTAGGCTCAGTCAAGTTGACATATAAAGTTGAGTTTCATATCTTGTTTTTATCTACTTTCAACCATCACCAGCCATGTCATTTTGTGTTCCCGTGGTAATTGTTACTCTGTTCCTTGTGTCCTTCCTTCCATGTACTTCCCTCCACCCCTTTTTACTTCTGGACATTTAAATTGGTAACAATCATGTTCCCTTTATTTTATGATCTTGCTGATCTTTTTAGCCCCAGTTCTGAGATTGGTGGGCTATTTGATAAAAATTTGCACTACCAAAGTTGCATATAGTACAGATCATTCACCCACCCATTCCTGCTGGAGACTTTCCAGTTCACGTGCAAATCAGTGGATTCTAGCAGACACATTCAGGGAGAGAGAACGTGAGCTCAGTGCCCACCCACACTCATTTCCTGGGCATTTCAGAACTTTGCTTCTATCTTATCAGGGTCTCTGCTATATGAATCAGGTTTTCTTTTCCATCCTAGTGATTGAACTCAGGGCCTCACTCAGGCAGGACATGTTAGCAATTTTGGACTTACTATAGATTTGTTTTGAAGTCCTTTATTGCATACATTGTTTTGTTTTGAATGTTTCTATTCTATTCTGTTCTGTTTGATTTTTTACTATATCTGAAGTTATCTGAAGCTATTTTGAAGACATCAAAATAGACATGCCAAGTGTTCTGCCACTGAACCCCATCCTTAGCCCTTGAAATTTTATGGCCATAAGGGAACTGACTCCTTAACACTGACATAGCATTCTGAATCTGAGGGTGAATCTCAACAGCGATGAATATTGTTATAAAGTTCTTATAATGTGCCGGATAGTATGATTAGTACTTTCAAAGCTTGAGCACATGAAGTGACCTCTATGGAGTATATGTGATTAAAATCTCCCTCTTTAATAATAAGAAAGCATCCAGGGAGGTTAATATAACTGTCTAAAATTTCCTAATATGAAGAAAATTTATGATTTATCCTCTTGCCAAGGAATCTTTATACTCTATCAACTCTGACAATAAACAGTTTAGTACAGTGTTTCAAACACACTGCGGTTTTGATAAATGATTATTGTCTCACATAAAGGTTAGGTGGACCTGCAAAGCACTTGAGGAAAAACACCTTGTCTTTTCTCCTTTCTATTCTTACCATAGTCTCATTAATGCCAGGAAGTCAGCTATAAATACCTGCCCAGTTTATGAGATTTGGGTGCTTCTTAGCTTTGAAATGATCACAAACACATAGTTTTTGTGTATCTAGAGGTCATGTCGGGGGGGGGGCAATCGTAATACACTTTGAGTATTTTACTGAATAGAAAACTGGAGAAAATCTTTTGCTGGGTTTTTTAGGCTCAGTCTCTACTAATTTATTTGGATTAGAGATTAGAGGCTATAAATGGATAAATAGAATAAAATTTAATAAATAGAAATAAGAGACCATTTGCATACCACAGTTAGAAAGAACAAAGCCACACCAGGAAATACGCCCAGTCTAGGAAACAGCGCCGTGCATAGGCTGCTGCCATACTGGAATAGACAGACCCGAGCCCCTTCAGGCACACAGGCTGGCAAACAAGAAGTAACCGTTCCCTACATCCCTACCCCCACCATAAGCAACCAGCTTATAGGAGAAACATAGGCCCTGATAATAGCTATCAAGGTGAAGTGCAATGGGATGCCTATGGGGCTTTAGTGTTTTATAACACTGCAGTTTTAGGGCCAGTGCCCTGATCACAGATTCAGAGGATAGTGGTATGTGGTGTGGTATATGCAGTGTGGCATTCTGAGGGTTGTGGCCATTGTTGATTCCCTATGGTTTTGTTTTGGAAGTTCTATAACATTTCCATTGTTCTGTTGAGTTGGGTTTTATTCTCTTTTGTTTGATTTGGTTATGCCAAATCCAACGGCAGAAGCAGCTGTTTCAAAGATAGCAAAATATATTATGTTAGCAATTTTGGATTTACTATAGACTTGTTTTGAAGTCTTTTATTGCATTCACTGTTTTGTTTTTATGGTTTCTATTCTATTCTGTTCTGTTTGATTTTTACTATGTCTGAAGTTATTTGTAGCTATTTTGAAGACATCAAAAGACATTATAGTAGCTATTGTTGATTTCTTAATGTTTTGAAGTCCTGTATCTTTTACATTGGTTTGTTTTGATTGGTTTTATTTTGTTTTATCCTCTTTAAAATAAAAAAAAAATAGAAATAAGATTTCTTGGTTGATGATTTGTGGAGTCTGAGATGATGGTTAATTTCACAGACCTCCCTGATTGTGATGTAAGTCTAACTCATGAAGACTGAATAAATAGTTCAGTGCATTGTGTTTCACATCAGTTTGCTGAGCATGCACAAAAGATCTTAGATGAAAATAAGATCAAAAGTGACAATAAAGCAATCTAAGTAAACTTGAATAGGTCTCTTTGCACTGTCAGCACACCTTCTTTCATAAGAGACATAAAGTTTTTCCCTAGGCCTAAATGCTGCAAGTTTTACCCTTGACCCTTGCTTTATATGCCACATATAATTAACACAAGAAAGCAATCCAGCTTAGAAAGAGAGAGGGTCAATCTGGAAGATATTGAGCTACTTGGATTTTACACCTTCCATGAATTATTTATGCAGCTTGAGCCCAGTCCTGAAAAGAAAAATCTGGACATATTTTTCTGTTTTTTTAAATTTGTGTTATTGCAGTGATCCAATTACTTAATGTTCAAAAAAGCAACTACTTCTGTATATTTTCAAGTTGCACGTCTTTGTGTTGAAATGGAACAAATATGCATTCGTACTTAGGCCAGCATAATTTGAAGCATCCCTGGTTTGATGCTGACTCATTGCCACCAGTGAGTAACAAAGGGAACCTGAGCTTCAAAATCACAATGAACCTGAAATTTAATTCCGATCCTTCCGCTCACTAACCATGTCACCTTTTGAATCTTAGTTTCTCTGTTGGTAACACAGCCACCCTGCAGCAATTGTAAGGATGAAAAGACAAACTGTACACATGGAAAGTGCTCAGTAATGATACTATGTGTAATAACTTGCTTATTAGAAAAGGGAATCCCACAGAATAAATGCTAGACCTACAGGAACTTAGCGTTAAAGACCATCGGCGTGCTGACCCACACCATGCTCCCTGGTCTAGCTCTTTTCCTATTCCTTTCTCTCTTCCTGTCATAGCTTCTTTGGGAAGTGTTTATATCATCAAGCTGAAGGGCCACAATTCACCGAGTTGCTCATCCTCTATGACTTCCATCATCCCTAGGATGTCCTTCCTTCCTCTGAACTGTTTCTTAAATGACTTCATGTTCTAATACCCCACTTAAGCCCCATGTATTCTCAAAAATGTCTGATATTCATTTCTCCTTTCAGACCTTTCCCTTCTGTCCCTTCACATCTGCAAGAATTAAATGTGCAGCATCTTCAGTGACTGCTGTCATCACCAATGATTTTAGTTCCCTGCAACAAGAGCAAACTGTGAGCTGCCAGGGATGGGAAGAAAGTTTTTAGATTCTGTAGTCTTGACACCCAATACTGGACTTGACATCATAAAGTAAAAAGTAAATGTTGAAAGAATGAGTGAATAAATACACGAATCTGTTGAAATAGCTGTGATATCTCTCATGCAAAAATGAGATTTCTACAGATTAATACTGACAATAAAATTTCCTTTAAATATAGAGCTTTCTAAATATTTATGTCTGAATCTATTTATCTAGCAGTTTTACTCATTTCCAAGTAGAAGCAAAATTAATTATTTTTTTTAAAATTAAAATATGAAAGCATATATTACTGTGAGACACAATGTTCTATTATTTAAGAGTGTCCATGTATAAGTTATTCAGTTACTCATTCACTGGACCAAAAATTCATCAGGAATTAATGTAATGCCTGAAACGAGGCAAGATGCTGGAGAAATAGGGACACACTAGGGAGACACTTTCTCTCCCTTCTCCAGCCTGCAATCTTTAGAAAACAAATAAGGAACATTAATTATCACATATAGCTATAGTATGAAAATCAAACTAAGATGAGTCCTTTGAAGTGAAATACCAGTGTCTAATAGCAAATCTTGCCCTATTCAAAAATGATTAGGGAATATTAAATATTGATATAATGCAGGCTGAGAAAAGGCTTAGGGAAAAGTGAGCAGCAGGGAGAGATGAGGACATACTACTTCTTCACAAGCAGGAAGCAGCCTTATGAGATCAAGGTGGCTTTCCAAACATTGCCTCTCCTGAAACCCAAGCCCAAGGGAAATAAACCCAGTTCATTTCTTTTAGAATGGCTTCCTGATTTCCATTAGTTTTCCTGTCTGCTTCTCATTAGTGAACCACCTATATTCCATCGGATGTAATTGGGTTTATTTGGAGCCCTGGGCACATATAGAATACCTGCATTTAGAATAGCCTGATCAAATTGAGAAACTGTGTCTGTATGTTGAACATGACAAGAATTCCTGTAGAGAAATCCCCATAATAGAATCAAGAAATATGGTGTGCTGACTTCTTCTTGTTACTCTGTGAAGCCAGCTATACGTGTATGTTGGACTGTATTCAGAAACACCAGTCACCAGGGAGCTTGCTGCACATTGAGGGCAGAGAATACTGTCACAGGATTGAAGTACTAGGAATAGCACTGAGTTTCCACTTACATTAGAATTCTAGCCTCTATCTCTACAGGGCCCAGGAAGCAACTTTTTGCTTATTCCCTGTTTCATTAGACAAGATAGCATTGCACGGCATATTTTCTCTGGGTCTTTTTCCCATCTAAATATATGTGAATTATCCTCATCTCTGGTACGAAGTGAGGCTGAGTCCTTACATCAAGAGTCAATTCAATCATGCCAAGTGCTTGGTATTGACAGGAGGCACTGAGAAGATGCAGCACCTAAATTTCCTCAGGGTTAAATTTATACTCATAGATAGTTCTTCTGGACTGCTCTGCTTAATGAAGAGCTCATCCCACTCCAGGTATTTGGCTAGAAAGCATATTTTAAAGAGACAGAGATGCTATGACGTTGCTGGATTGTCATTCTTCAAATCGTTCCAGGGGACTTCTACTTGGTTAATTATCAGGACTCCCCACAGGGTGGTATAAACTCTCTCCTCTGTAACTGTGAGCATTTGTTTTGTCTGATTCAGTGCTTAGTTGACATTAGTTTTGGGTCGCAATAGGACACTACTGACGTGGAGCTTGGACTTCCCAGAGATCTTAGGCCAGGAGATCTCATTGCAGGGCATGACTGATTACACTACTCCAAGCCTCCTCCTCTAGTTGGCACATTCTGGGGTAAGATCATTAAATTTTAGGAATTCTGATTATGCAGTATTATATATGAATTACTACTTCTATCATTTTGCAAGCCCGCCCAGTTTTGGTCCTGCTTCCAAATCACTAATTCATATCCTTAACCTGTGGAATGCATGTGAATTAACCTCTGACTCTCAGTCCCCCTCTCGAGAGCCTCAGATTTCCTTAAGTTTGCTAAGCCAGTAACTTTGGCTGCTATTCAAGGAACTCAGTCTTACGTTTCTATTGCATTGGTTCCCTGTGGCCCTCACCAGTTTAGAATCTTACTTGTTTGTCCAGTAATTTAGGAGTTGAGTACCTGTCCCTTAGTATCTAATTGTACTAAGAGGTTTTATGACCAGGGTGGTTTGCCTTCCATCATGAAAAGTGTGTAGCTCTGATTATCAAAATGTTTCGGAGCTTGGAGAGTTCTCTTGCATGGTTAGTGAAGAAAAGATTGTAAGTAGAACTCTACAATAGAAAATCCATTGACTTTGACCAATTCTGCCAATTCTTCTCTCTGAGTTCATTGACCTGCTGTCCACACTCACCAAACCTCAGTTTCTTCAGTGAAAAGAAGGTAATTCATGTTAATGTCAAACATTGATTAAGGATTAGATTGGTTTTCTTTTCAATTTCTTTGCCTTGTTTTTTTCTATTTTTTCTAGCTTATTTTCTATTATTTCTCTTTTTGTCTTATTAGTTTTGTCTTTTTATGCTTTTTGTCCTGTTTTTATGTAACTGTATTTATTCTCCAACGTTTTTATTTTTACCAATGAAAGTAATTATTTTTAATGATCATGTCACCATCTAGTATCATTTCTCCTATTTCATGATAAATATAATGTATATTGATACAAGTTTGTCTCTACACTATCATGTACTGAAGAGAGATGTCAATCATACTTTGTGATAATCCAGAAAAGGAGTAGGGTGACAACCCCAGCTATGCTGTTAAAAGCTTCTCCCTAATGAATTACTACTAGCACTGAAATCCCCCTAGAGAATCATACCACCTATGGCCCTCTGAAGAGACTTCCCTTTAGATCTTTCCAACTACACCTATGCACCTGTTCTGACTGTACTCTTTCAGGAAACCTGATTCTTCAGTATTTTTTTTTATTATAGAATGCTATTCCATCTCCTTGACAAATCCACCTTTTTGCTTCAGTTAACCAGAGAATGTCTGTGTAGCCCACTGCCAAAAATCCACAAGAAATTTACTTTTTTATCTCCAGGAGTATTTAGCCCAACTGCAGTTGCTCGACTACAGTGTGCAACCAAAAATACATACACAGCAGCAGGGTACGCAGATTGAAAGTGAAAGTTAATGGCATTGGAAATCCTTAGTTAAAATGAGATCAAGCACGGCATTACCCTGCATGCCTCTCTTGTCATAGCCTCTTGTCGCTGGAGTACTGGAGACAGATTCAGGTATTATTTAAGGGCCAAGGTGGAATTAGCCACTAAGTGAAGCGGCAGTAATGTGGTTCCCTCATTTCATGGCATGAGAAGGTCTCTAACTGACTTTCCTGTATCTAGGTTTACTTTCTCTCTGAAGAAGATGGGATTAGTCTCAGGGTTCCTTGTGTTGCTCTGTCCCAAATGAGTTATTTACCACTTCTGCCTTGTACTGAGCCCATTTTGTGGACTCTACTGGCCCACTTTTCAGACACACACAGAAAGACACAAACACCACCTCTAACATTTACTTTTTCCTAATCCTAGAATAGAACCTAACATCTTGAGGTCATGAAGCTTAAATCCGTCAACTGGAAGACATCTTGCTTTG